TCTCGCCGCATGACTCCCGTCATCTCTTCGTTTGCAGTTCCCGGCCAGGCATCCAACTCACCTACGTGGACCTTTGGCTCAAGCCGGCTGAGGTCGCGGCCTATCTCCGTCTCCCAACTGCACCCAATTTGGTGTCCGGCGGGGACCCCTGATCCAACAAGGGCTACCAACCAACCAACCATGGCCGAAAAATCATCCCACCCAAGTCCACCATAGGTGATAAAAGTTCAGTTCAGTAGGTCACGACCAGCACGCCAGCCATCAAGCAATGAGCGCACGAACGGGCAGCTTTCCTTGTCAAAGGGAGTCGTTAATCACCATAAATATGCAGTAGCATAGTGACTGTATTCTGTGTATTCATGTGTATGAAGTACCCGTTTCTTTTATTGTTTCCGACGATGAATCTGCGACGGATTTCGAAACATCAGGGGAATAAAAGTCTTGTCCCAGTGATCACATCTTCTTCTCAATTACTTTCTAGGACTCGCAATTCATCTGCAGTACGTTGCCTTTTCCACCGCATCCTACACGTGGTGGTCAGGCCAGATACATATTAAAGCCACAAGCAAGAGCTAAAGTGCATGTGCAGCGGTCGGTGACGGCATGTGATGATACCGGGAGCGCTTTACGAAGAGAAAGGTGGTCTACCTACGCCCGAGGATCTACCTGTTATGCGACTAGTGCTGACTGAAAACGACACAGCATGTGTGACAAACCTGATAAACACTGAACGCTATTTTCAAGATCTCCTGTCAAATACACCTATGGCTCGATGCGCTGGGGGCACAGACTACGTCTGAAAGACGGTTGTAGCTAAGCAGAACAACAGGTTGGACGGGCTGAACATATACATGCCGGTAAAAATTTCGCACAGGGGTAAACCTACTTCATAGCCATTAAAGTCCTCCTCGAGAAGAACGTTGACCGTGAGGAATTCATGTGCACTGTCCTTAAACTTCTGTTTCTGTTCATCAACATTCTGTTCCTCTAGGAATCGGGAACACAATGACGCTGGTATATCCTGTTCCGTGACTGGACGCAATACCTCCTCTTTGGCATTCTTTGCGATGTAAACCAGCATGTAGGCGTTTGTAAAGGCTCGAATATCTGGATCTTCGGAATTCCCATAATTCTGTATTCAGAAAGACAAGAGAGGATGAATGGTAAGGCGATAATGGAAAAAAGTAAATGCAAACCTCAGTGAATATTTGGGTAATTATGAAACCATGACTCGTGGACGCATAAACTGGAGCCTGAGGAAAAGACCTACGAATGAGCTGATTAAGCGGCGAAATGAATGCAGTGATCAGTCTCCAGGGTGGAATTGACAAGATGTAAGTATTCTGCATGGATCTGAAATTGAAACTCCAAGGCTGTACAAAACGGAAAGAACGAACCTTCTGCGGACAATATCTGCAGTTGGGGAAGATATCAAAGGTCCGGCGCCAAATTGACACAATGTTCAGTGTTTATTACAAAAACGTACAGAAGATGTCTAGTACGTCTAAGAGACGATATAGGTAGAAACGCAAAACTCCGAGTAGTATATCCCAAGTTCTTAAAACAACTCAGTGGTATTAGAAGGGGTCTCCAAAGCGAGCGATTAGGACGTATGAGACGGTACATTATGCTATTCTTCTGCCACCAAGAATTGCCTCCGCCTCCAGGCCATCTGACTCACACGTATGTCTGATACAAAAATGAGGGTATAAGAAGTGAGGGCGATTACATACTTTATCCTTCAATTTAGCAGGCCGGAAATATTTTTGAGCCATCGTGACTTAAAATTTAGGGCTCAAGAGGCTGGCAGTGTAACTCTTCTTACCCGGACTGTAGGTTAGACGGCAAAGGCTTATTCCTAATTCTGCTGTTGAGACAACTCTCGCCAAAAAAATCTACATGTTAGATGTTTGGTTGAGATGCAGGTAAAAGCATACACGTACGTCGAGAGTGAATGCGGTCAGCCACTGGGTCCAGTCGTCTGAACCTAGCTTGGACAATGAAACGCTGTGAATGAGGGGGGATAGTGAGGCGTATCACGCACAAGTCTCATTCACTATTGTTTAAATCCTTCGCGAGCCACTACTGCTCTCCAGCGGGAAAGCTGTGCCGTACTGACTGGCGATACGAGGACACGAGTCACTGAAACCTATTTCTATCTGCCGACAAAAGTACGTTTGCCTCAGAAATATCGTACCATCCCACACCGATATAAAAAGAACGCCAAAGGCGGGTTATCTGTTAGCATAACTGCTGGCTACGTGGCGCATCTATAGGTGGTAAATAGTGCAACGGCCTTCAGCGAAGGCTAGTTGCGAAATAAACAGGCTCCTGGGTCTAACGAATAAGCAGTCACGGACACAGCAACAACAATGTTACCAGGGCGCAGAGGGCTGATGTCTGGCGCACCGACTGCGTTATAAAGTGCCACAAGTCCCAGTGACGGCATTGTGACATGCAACCGTAAATTGCCATTAAATAGGTTTGCTCGCCACCGCTGACTTCTGGTTAGGTTCTTCTGCCAAAGTGTTAGAGAAGACAACCTCGAATAAACAATCCAAGCGGCTGTTGGCGCCCGACTGTACACAAAACCGCAAGCTCCTTCATGAACATGCCTATTTACTGAAAGCGAGCAAGAGGCGGGGAACTACGATATTTTTGTAGGCTAGACACGGAGCATTCGCCAAAGCAAAAACAAGAATAGGCTATCTATCTATTACTGACACGCGAATGGGAGTGGGCTCCCCCAAGTCCCCAGCATAGGCTGTGGGACAAGGCATTCTAGGGCAGACGGCGAGCACGCATAATGCGGAGTGACTGACACTATAAAACAATTTGAAAGCTGATATATGAAAACAATACCCACCAAATGTTTTCCTGGATACGCAGTCGACTAAATGGCATTTGATGGATGACCGCTCAGCGATCGATTGCAGGACTCGCTGCTCCCGTTTTTCTTTGAGGCTCACTGGCGAGCCC